AAAAGACACACAAAAAAGAGAGAGAGAACCGAAATTAATCCAGACCCACTGCTTGTAAATTAGGGAGATTCCCCTAAGTGGGGACTATGGTAGTCTCCTGTTGAGGCAGAGGGACGTGTGGCCCGGCGCAGATAGTAACGTGTCAGGAAAAACCGCCATAAGCGCCCAATTGCCAAAGAACGAACAAATACACTCCTGCGACCCCCCGCACTCACTTCCTCGCTCCCTTCCCAAAGTACGTGGCAAGGGATGGAGAAAACCGTCAGAGAAAGACGCCCAGCACAAATTCACTCACCGCCCACAACAGCAAGAGACCGGAACCGGAAACCGTGGTGCCATCTTTGTTATGGGAAAAGCTAGGTTTGAAAAGAAGCCGCGAGAACCATACTTACTATGGGGAAGTAAGGGCAAAGGAAAGCAGTGGCGGCCATATTAACTAAGGGCATTTGTCCACCCTAGGAGCTTCACTGCACAGGGCTAGTTTGGGCAGTTTCTATAGGAAGCTTGATAATAAGAGTGTTTGGTAGACACCAAGAGAACAGGAAAAATATTAAAAAGTTTTTTTAAAGTTAAATGTGTACCTGAAAAAGTAGGGAGAGCAGGGCGTGATGGCACACGTCTGTAATCATAGCACTTTGTAAGGCTGGGGCAAGAGGATCCCAAGTCCAAGCACTGGGCAACTTCATGACTTAAGTGAAACCCTGTCTCAAAATTCAAAAAGACAGCTCAATGAGAAGACCTTGGATTCAATTCTCAGTTACCCCCACCCCAAAACAAAGAGACAGGGAGAAATTAACAAATAGAATGAAAATATTTTGATATATGTGGGTATGGCAGTAGCAGTATAGAGCTGATAGAATTGAAGGACCACAGAAAAGAGACCAGAAAAAGGAATGTCAAAAAAGAAAATTCCCCCAAATTTAGTGTAAGATCTAATAGATGTTCTGAAGAGCTAAACAGAGGGGGTTGGCTTTATAGGAAAGAAAGCAGAAATAAACAACTAAAAATGGGTTTGTATGCTGGGCACAGTGCCACACATCTATAGTCCCAGGACTTGAGAGGCTGAGGCAGGAGGATCTCAGCAAGTATGAGGTCACCCTGGTCTACAGAGTGAGTTCAAGGACAGCCTGAATAGTGAAACCCTGTCTCTAAATAAATAAATGGCCCTTATTTTTTTTTCTGGTACCAGGGTCAAACTCGGGACCTTGTGCTTGCGAGGCAGGCGGTGGCACCACTGAGCTAAATCCCCAGCCCCTCTAAGTAAATAAATGGGTTTGGAGGTTCAGTGTTGAGACACTGACTGAGGTTAACTGAAACGTGATTTTAGGAAAATTGGCCTCTCCTCCAGTTCGTTGGTGTGGCACTTGGTATGAATGACTCCCTGCTGGTTTGGGCTGATGTGCTGAGGCCTCTGCAGGAGGCTGGTCCAAAACAGCACCCTCTCATACACTGTTTAACTGGACTGAGGGCCCTTCCCCACTTTCTCATCTCTAGTGAGCCCTGTCTACTCCAAGCTTCCTGTTCATGCCTAACTGTGGATGAGATCCCACAAATTAGAAGTCTTGCAGTTAAGAGGAGTATTTTAAATAACATTGATTGAGGTTGGCCAACTATTATCCCATGAAGGCTCTTAGGGGAGTTATTTCTGGGTTCGTGGTATTCTGAAAAAGAATTGAGCGGGACACTCCAAAGGAGTAAGAGGAATAAGATTTACTATTAAAACAAGAAAGAAAAAAAAAGCAGCCACAGTACACTCCTCAGAGTGGGAGCATGAAAGGAGAGGAGCTCACAGCCCTCACCAGGGCAGGCACTGGGTCTTTTAGAGTCCTGGGACTACAGGAGGATTCATACCTAGGGGTCAACAGGAGTCACGGCCCAATGGTGGGGAGGGAAGTTTTTGAACACTGAATGTTTTTAAAAAATTTGTAAATTAGCATATGTCTGTGATTCATAGTGATTACATTCATCTTGGGAGATTACTACATATCTCTATCACATCCTGATCATTTACACTCCCCCTGCTCCCCCAACTCATTGTCCTTCCCCAGGTCCCCTCCCTGTCTCTACAGAGACTACTTCCCTATTTCTTAACATGGCTGTATTATTTTTCTCTTTTAATTATTTATATTTTGGGTCTTTTGTATTAGAGAAACCTTGCAATATTTAACTTTTTGTGACTGACTTATTTCACTTAGTATTATGGTCTCACAATCCACTCATTTTTCTGCAAATTACTCAGATGTACTCTTTATGGCAGAGTAGTACTCCATCGTGTATAAGTACCATTTTCTTTATCTATGTATCCGTTGATGGGCACTTAAGCCATTTCCCTGATTTAGCTATTATGAATTGTGCTGCTACAAACATGGATATGTAGGTATAGCTATAATATGATGACTTTAGTTCTTTTGGGAACACACCTAGTAAAGGTATAGCTGGGTTTTCTATTTTAGTTTTTTTGAGGAATCTCTATACTGATTTCCACAGTAGTTGTACTAGTTTACATTGCCATCAATAATGTAGAAAGGTTCCTTTGCCTTCACAATCTTCCAAGCACTTGTTTGTTAAGCCATTCTCACTAAAGTAAGATGGGATCTAAGTGTTATTATGATTTGCATTTCTCTAATAGACAAAGATACTGAACATTTTTTCATGTATTTATTGTCCATTTGTACATCTTCTGAGAAGTGTCGTTTCAATTGATCATTTTTAGATTGAGTCTTTCTTTTCGGAGGTCTATTTTTGGGGGGAGTTCTTTGTATATTCTAGTTTTTGGTTCTTATCTGAGGAATAGCTGGCAAAAATTTTCCCCATTCTGTAGACTAGCTATCTCTTCACTCTGTTGACTGTTCCTGTTGCTGGGCAGAAGCTTTTTCATTTTGTGTTGTTGCTCTTTTTTGAGACAGGGTCTCCCTATGCAGTTCAGGCTGGCCTTGAATTCACTATGTAGATCAAGTTGGTCTCCAATTCACAGTGATCCTCAGTCTCCCGAGTGCTAGGATTACAGGCATGTACCACCAAAAAGCACAGAAACTTTTTAATTCAATATAATCTCTTTTGTTGATTTTCATGTGCAATTGGGTTTTTTTTTTTCAAGAAGTCCTTGTCTGTGGTTATGTCTTCAAGAGTTTTACTGTTGAGTGTGGTGGTGCACACCTGCCATCATAGAACTCAGGAGGCTGAAGCAGGAGGATTGCCAAGAGTTTGAGACCAGCCTGGACTACATAGTGAATTCAAGCCAGGCTGAACTACATAGTAAGACCCTGTGTCAAAAAAACCAAGAAAACAACAAAAAAAGTTTTACCAACTTATTTTCTTCCAGCACATTCAGTGTTTTATATATAGATCTTTGATCTATCTTGATTAAATTTTAGTACAGGGTGAGCCAGGCATTGTGGTGCATGCCTATAATCCCAGCACTCAGGACACTGAGGCAGGAGATTGCTGTAACTTGGAGGCCAGCCTGGGCTACATAGTGAGTTCAAAGCCAGCCTGAATTATGTAGTGAGACCCTGTCTCAAATAAACAAAAACATTTTAATACAGGTGACAGATATGGATCAAGATTCACTTTTCTCCATATGGATAACCAGCTTTCCCAGCATCATTTGTTAAAGAGGCTATCCCTTCACCAGTACATCTTATTGGCCTCTGTGTCAGGAATCAGATGGCTGAAGGGGCTTGGGGTTGTTTCTGCCTCTTCTATTTAGTTCCATTGGTCTACAAGTCTCTTTCTGTGCCGGTACCGTCCTGTTTCTGCCTCTGAGCATTGCAGTAGAACTTGAAGTCTGGGGATGTGATGCCTCCTGCCTTGCTCTTGCTGCTCAGGACCAGTTTGGCTGTTCTGGGTCTCTTCTGGTTCCATATAAATTTTGGAATTATTTTTTCTAGTTCTGTGAAAAAAGCTGATGGCGTTTTGATGGAAACTGCATTACACAAATATATCATTTTTGGTAATATGGCCATTTCAACGCTATTAGTTCTGCAGTGACCATACGAGGTTTTTACAGGAAGTGTTATAGTCCTCAAAACCCACAGGGTGGGGCAGGGTAAAAAAGAACACAGTGGGAAGGAGGTCGGACACAGGTAGTGGTCACGTACTTTTGCAGATGCCTGGGGGTCTCTGCAGGGACAGAATGATCTTTACCTCCTCCTTTCCTGATGCTTTGACACAGTCACTCTTACTCCACTTGGTTTCTCAGTTCTTCATCCCACAGTTTTCTGTTGTTTACTTGTCCTTGCTCCACCTCTTACCTCAGTTTCCCCCAGACACATGACACCTATAATTTATTATGGGTCGTTGAACGATGGTCTCAATCTTCCAGAACTCCTTCCTGCTGAGCATGGACATAGTCCCCACCTGTGTGGAAATCATGTGACAGATCTAAAGGAGAGGTGGAGACTGCAGGGTCAGTTGGGAGAGATTGTTACCCCTGGAGGGTCAGAAGTTGGTGTGAACTATTGCTTGGAGTTTAGAAGAGAGGAGTTGTGGACGTTGGTTAAATAGATAAGGTCTGCAAATACAAGCAAGAAGAACTAATACAAGAACTGTGTAAACAGCACTCTTAATGACCAGATCCAACTCTTGGGTGTTTTTCAGAAGGGGACTTGTGACCTGAAGAGTAAGAAGCTGCACTCTGTGTGTGTCCTGAGGACTTAATGTGACCTGGGAGTCACCAGGACGAGTTGAGGGGCCCCATCTCCCTGGGAGCTTGCCTTGGGTGGGTTGCCCACTCACTGGGGTGGGGTGGTGCCACTGCACTGGCTCGAGAAGTATAAGGGGAAGAGGCAGGGGGTTCTGCTTGGGCCCCTGAGGGGAATGTGGCAGTCTAAGGAGGGGGTCATTGGTTACAGTAATCTGTGGTTCAGGAGCCGTTTAAAGGGGAGTAGCTCTTGAAGCTTTGAAAAGGGGTGGGTTTTTTTTTTGATGGCTACGTTTAACTTTATTTTTGCTCATAAGGAAAGCAACCAATTGATTACACAGTTCCAGAACTCTTAATGTTCAGTGATCAAGAAGAAAATGAGGTCAGAAGGCAAACTCTTCATTTCTTCCCAAACATGTTATTACAAGTATCACAGAAACTCAAATCAGCACACACAACACTGGTGTTCGACACAGAGAGGCCAAGCAGAAGGGTGAGGAGTATGGCGTGGCCACAGGGCTCAGGGTGGGGGCAGTCCTCCCACAAGCTTCACTCTACCCAAGTAGCTCACATCCCAGGCTCATCACATCCTTCTATGTCAAGGTTACTAAAACATGTAGAAATCCTAGCTGGACATCTGTAATCCCAGGACTCAAGAGGCTGAAGCAGGAGCATTGTTCTGAGTTCAAGGCCAGCCTGGGCT